CGAGGGCAGACGAAGACCATCAACGGCGTGCCCGTGGTCGTGCCTACAAATGGCGGAGGAACACAGATTGTTGTAGATGGCAGCACGGTTGCGTTCAATCCGGCTCCGACGCAAGCTCTCAACCCGGCCCCGACGCAAGGTTTACCTGTGCTCATTGTTGGTGGGGGGATCGTCACGCCAGATTCGAATGGAAATTATGTTCTGGGATCCGAGACGTTGAAGCCGGGCGGCCCTCCGATCACTATTAACGGGAACACCGTCAGCATGGCACCGGACGGCTGGGCTATCGTCAATGGTGCCACACAGACTATCGCAAACCTTCCGGCGCTTACCGGAGCCCCCGCTTTGACGGTCGGCAGTCAAGCCGTCTCAGCAACCGTAGTGGGAGGCTCAACAGTCTTTGTTGTCGCGCCTGGTCAGACGCTTAGTGCAGGAAGCACACTTGTCGTCGATGGCACGACTTACAGCATGCCGGCAGAGGGTCATGGGTCAACCCTTGTCATCAACGGACAGACGTCGATGTTGAATGCTGGACAATCAGCCATCACTCTCGACGGTGGGAGATCGGTTACTGCGCAAGTCGTCAGCGGCACGACAGCCTATGTTCTGGCTCCTGACCAAACTCTCACACCTGGTGGCGTCCTCACGATCTCTGGGACCACATACTCCATGCCCACGAGTGCATCCGGTTCTGTCATCGTCGTCAACGGCGTCACATCCACTCTGGCTGCCGGTGCTGAGATCACAGCCGCACCAGCCTTGACCATCAATGGCGTGACGTATGCACACACTGTTCGAGACGGAACGACCGAATACGTTCTGAATGATGGAACCACACTCGCACCCGGATCATCGATAGAAATCGACGGAACTACCTACTCTCTAGATGATCAAGGCACTGCCTTGGTCATCAACGGGCAAACCAGCAGCATTCCGAAACTTCCAAAGAGCAACAGCGCGAGTACAACACGTTCAGACTCCGCTTCTACAACAAGAAGTCGCGACGCTGGAGATTTGATCGCGAGCGGAATAGGGGAGACAAGTAAGGGAGTCGGACCATCTACACACGCCGGCGGCTTAGACAAGTGGATTGAGAGTTTGGTTATTGGCGCGGCGGGATGGCTTACACTGCTACTGTGAGGAGCTCGGCCATTGAAGGATTCGGAAAAAATTGGGTGGTAACGATTTGATGCATTATCATATAGCGCGGCGCTTGGTACTTTGGATGGGACACAGGGATACATAACGACTTGGACATATATTGGGAGGACTACAGTCCGCATTTGGGTGGAGCTAGGACCTTTCTGGTAGATATTGGTATAAAGCGTAATGCTGTTAATCTTTATACTTGGTAAATCAAACTAGAAGATGTATGCTGCAGCAAATGCGCGATGGTACGCTGTTCCACGCCGTTATGCTCAAGATGTCCTTCAAACTCGTCCGAGACCTCTTCAAGTCCAAAAAGGATCTCCAAGATGGCGTAATAGTACACAAAATCCGTTTGTGATACTAGACGACAGTAAAGACGCAAGTCTGGTCAACTCAGCCGTAACTGTCTCCAACCTACTTCCCACCCTTCTTGAACAATTCCCATGCCTCGACCAAACCTTGCCTGGTCTCATCCTGCTTCGCTCGCTGCTCATCACCGATATCTCCAACAGCGCACATGTTGCCATCGTATGCCTCGCCCGAGAACAGAACGCTCAAGTTCATCCAGACCGGAACAATCTTCGCATCCGCACCCTTGACCTTCATCTTCTTGAACAGCTCTTTCGCCATCTCTCCCCGCAGGCGCTGAACGTAGTCGGCCCACTTCTCTTCAGCACCATTCTTAGTCCACGTCTTCCCGAAGCCTTTGCTAGTCGAGTCCATTTCCAGAACAAGAGTGAGGGAAACAAGGCCGCGGTAGTAGTTCTTCATGACGTTGTATCCACCGTCCAGCAACCAGTGCAGATCGTAGAAGGAACGGATCTTGATGTTGAGCTTTGTAACGAGACGCTGACATCCGGTAGGAAACAGTCTCACACTGTAGTCGGGCGGTGGGCAGAGCTCGTTGGTTGGTCTAACGATCTCGAACATGTTCTTGCCGTACAACACAGCCTTGGCCTCGGCGAATACTTCTTTGTTCGCGCGGAGGATGTTGATGTTGGTGCGGCCGACGAGCGAGAAGCGGGTTTTGTGTCCGTCGACATGGAGGTGGACGAGTGCGTATGCGATACCAGGGAGGAACTCGCGGCGCTCGGCGTTGAGGAACGCTTTCTTCTCGTCGTGGAATACCGTGTGCTTTTGGCGGACGCAGATCAGGCCGGGGACGACTAGGAGGTGCGTGTAGATAATGTTGCGAACGGAGATGGGAAGGTTCATGAATGGGAACGGTTCCTTGTTCGAAACGGGGCTGTCAATGGCGAGAGCAAGAGAGGCGAACGGGTCGTGCTTCTCGAGAGCTGTGGGTTTGGCGGTGTACGAGTCTGCTGGAACTGGGGAAGAGAGGTCGAAGTTGCTTGCGGGTGAGGTACTACCCTCGTCATCGCTCTTCTCGCGGATCTCGGTGTCGAAGGTCTCCTCTGGCTCGTGGAAGAAGACCTCGGGTGACTCTCCCTCGTTGAAGTTGATGGCGCGTCCTGTTTTGTTGGAACTGACGTCAAGGTACTCGACGTTGCTGAAACGAACGCGTTTAGCCATACCGCCGGTCGAAGGCGGTGTCATGAGGTACGATAGCGGAGGCGTCTGTGGTCGCTCGACTGATGGCTCCATATTGAATGCGGATCGCGATGGGTATGAGTAGGGTTGATATATAGTGGTTGATAGAGGATTAAGGCAGGCAAGACGTTAATAGATGGGCGAAGGGAGGATATGTGAAGGTGAGAGAGGGCGCTATAGCCGGCGCCAGGCGGGGCGTCTCCACAGCAAAGCTATGATGAGGTGAAGGTGAACGGTGATGGACGGCCGCCGCTCGTTTCGTAGGGAACGACCAACACGTCGGTACAGGTATACATGGTAAGCAGTGGGCAAACAAAAAGTATGAGGGGCTATGGGATTGTTCTCGTGAGATTACAGGTTTTGCGGTGATGAGTCGGATTGATCGCTGGACTACACGACCACGATAGCGAGCAGTGGAGGGGTAGGGATGACTAGAAAGAGAGCCTCGCCTGCTGCGCATCGATTTAGCTTGGAAAGCCGCATCTCAACGTACCACCATAAAGACAGTATCACATAAATTACAGTACGGGTCTAGGTGCTTGCGGCTCTTCCAAGGTCCAAGATGTTGCTTGGAGGTGGGATGATATTTACGTTGATCTTCACACACCAGCCCTTGGAATTGTGCAGTGCAATTCAATAGCAGAAGCAGCGAGCAGCTGTTTAGATAGAGAGGAGAAAGTAAAATTAGATGCCAAAGAGGCGATGAAGATGTTGATGGAGTTGCGCCGTGGTTGGGTGAGATTCCAGGTCCCGCGACCCAATCGGTGCTAGTCGCAGCCAGTGCCGAGCCGGGCTCAGAAACCTCATCGCAGCATCCTCAACTGCACCCGCGCTCCGAACGCAGCCCCATCCCGCAATCCATCTCCCCTCTACCCACCATGTCTGCCGCTCGTGCCTTCAGCACCGCTTTCCGGGCGGGTGCGCCCCGCGCCCCAATGGCCGCCCGCTACGCTGCCACCCGAAGCTACGCTGCCGCCGCCGCCCCGACTGGCTCTGCCAACAAGCCCCCGGTTGCCCTCTTTGGCGTCGACGGAACCTACGCGAGCGCTCTGGTACGCTTTCCACGACTCCAATTGGCATTCTGGCGATGATAGACGGATGGAAAACTGGCCAATAGCTGGGGAGCAAGAGCTTGGCTAACAATTGTGGCAGTACACCGCGGCCTCCAAGACCAACGCCCTCGACCCCACCGCAAAGTCTCTCCAGGCTCTCCAGGGCGTTTTCCAGAAGGACGCCAAGCTTACCCAGATCCTCCACGCCCCCTCGCTCTCCGTCTCAGACAAGCAGCAGATTGTCCAGGAGCTCCAGAAGCACATTGGCGGCGCTGACAAGGACGGCATTGTCAAGAACTTCCTCGCCACACTCGCTGAGAACAACCGATTGGGCGTACTACAGGGTGTCGTAGAGAAGTTCGGTGTGCTCATGGGTGCGCACCGTGGTGAGGTCGAGCTGACCGTCACCAGCGCTGCGGTACGTTGATTCCGAGATGGGATGGAAGGACAGACCCCAAGAAGGGAGGAGGGTGTTTCAGGGACCAAATAACTAACAGTGCGCAGCCCCTCGACAACAAGACCATCAGCCGCCTCGAGAACGCCATCAAGAACTCGCAATACGTCGCCAACGGCCAGACCCTCAAGGTCGTCCCCAAGGTCAACCCCGAGATCCGCGGTGGACTCATCGTCGAGATCGCCGACCGCACCATCGACAAGTCCGTCGCCGCAAAGATGGCCAAGATGAACAAGCTCCTCAAGGATACTTTGTAAATATAGAGCGAGAGCGCATGGCGATGGATGTGAGGGGTAGGCATGTGTATTCTAGATGAGTCTTGGAAAAGAGCAATTTACTACCGTCTACCACCTGGCGACGCGCCATGATCGAATGACGACTTTAGCTTGGATTTGTTAAGAAATATTTTGGAGTAGCTGATATTATACAGAAGACAGTCAACTATCGAGCTCGTGTTCCACCAACATGTGTAGGAATGAATGTGCTCTGCCAGCTCACCGGATACCGTCTCAATATTCCTAGAACCGACGAATGCCAGCTATCTACCGCGCTACAATACACTATCACATTGGCACAGCCCCCATGTCAACATAGAGAAAAGGTGAACACCCTGGGGTCTACGTCGATGTTAACACACCCACTTTGCGTGTACTCATCTTAATGTAGTCTGCAGACCCGTCCAGTATTTCCCTTGTATGAGGTGGCCCCTACCTATCACGCGAATCCCCAAGACGTCCACCGACGTATTGTTCTGTTCATACTTTGTTTTCCGGGTTGAAGTAAACAACTTTCCTCTAGTCGTCGAAGAATTCTGGAAAACGCACGCGTATGCTCGGTAGCACACACGGCTCATCTCCATTGGTCGCAGCCCACGCAGCAGCATCGTATGGCTTCGGAACCAGCCATTCGTCGCACCTACGCTTCTCAGACAAAGCTTTGGCCAGGAAGGCATAATACTTTTTGAGTAGCTCGTAGAGGCGCTCTAGGGTATGTACCTCTTCGGTGGTCTCCTTTCCGGGACCTTCGTAAATGGGTTCGATCTGCGGGGAAGTTAGTATGCTCCAAAAGTTGTTGCAATGTCAAATACTGTTTCTGAAGGGGTTGGATGACATGCGAAGGTTATCGCATACTTACAATCATCAGAGGGAATTTCATAAGCGAAATGGGTGTCTGTTCGATCTCGCGGATGCAGAGGGTTCGTTGGTAAGGAAACCCCTCAAGTGTGGGCGCTGATGTTGCAGTCGTATTTGGTGACATTGTAGTGTGCTTGGTTGATCGTGAATGCGTACGGTAAATGGTATAGTTCTTGAATGAAGAGAAAATACGCAGGGTTCTTCATGGGTCATACACGATGTTCGCAGTGAATGTTTGTCTCGATTCTGGCCATACGTGGTTGGGGATATCTGAACTATGGTTCACCACCACAGCGCGGTTTAGCCACTTGGGAAGACAGCGGCGAGGCACTTCCAACCAAGGACGTGGGTAGGCGCAGCATTTACTCATTTGTAAAAGATTCAATTCGATTGGGTATAATTTCGCATTACTCAAAAACAGCGAATAGCAAGAAAAAGATATCAAACTGTACCAAAAAACAGCAGCCTCTTCCTCAGCCTGGACACAGCCTTCTTCATCTGATTCTTCCTCCTCCACCTCCTTGCACCCAGTTTTACCGTAAAAGACCGCCCATCGCCTCCATATACTTCTTCAGTCCCGACTCTTTTCAGCCATTTGGCGTAGTCTGAGGAATCTGAAGAACCTGAAGAATCTGAAGCACTGGAAGAGTCTGGGTACTCTGGATGTTCGATCGCAAGACCGCCTGTACATACTAGTTCTCCGTCGACGAAATGGGAGGATAAGGGTGTGAGGTAGTCGTCGGTAAGGGGATTTGATGGGGTTTTGTCGGTTGCGGTGGATAGGTCTACTACGCTGTCGTTTCTTTGTGGCGATGAAGAGGTTGTGGTGAGCATATTGGATGAGGCATCCCCGTAGTGCGTTTTGAGCAGGGTGTCTAACTCGCTTTGAGAGGAGATAAGAGTTTTGCTGCTGGTGTCGTTGGTGGCCTGGTTTTGCTTGTTAGATAGTCTCTCTTTCATGCTACGGATTTCCGGAGTACACGGGAGTATACTTACAACGAGAATCGGGAAGCGGAGACGAGAGTTGTCGAAACCTGGGGCTAACGTGGCGATGTGCCAGGTTTTTGGGTTGCGCAATAGTTGCGCGGGCATATTGATAGCAGTACTTTCGGACGAATACCAACTTGAAAGCATTCTTCGTTCAACGTAGTATATCTATGGGTATTAGGTTGAGTTGGTATGCAAAATGGGGATCGAAAAGGGTATTTCAGAAAGAGAAAGAAACGCATGCCACACATTTACTATACGTGTCTCTAACATGACTCCCTACTGTCGTATTGCTAACTGTAGTTCACTCATAGGCTCACGTGTAGGCAGACGAATGGAGGGACCATGGTTTTGGAGAGGAAAAGTGGATCAGCTCGTGACGTGTATCACGATGTCGCTAAGGAGTGGGAAATCAGGCGAACGGCGTCATGGGATTGCGCATGGGATCGCCATAGTCAGGATGGCGAAAATAGGGATGTAGCGATGAAACACTTTGGATATAACAATTTGAAATAGAATGTGCGTGTGTGAAGACTGATGCCTAACTGCCCTCAAATGCCCGACCGACCGAATTAAGCTTGCCAAACATACTCTATGCCAACGCAAGGCTCGACGCCCACCTTCTCGTCGACATCTATGACGGAGTCGCCATCTTCGTTATCTTCATCGCAGACAGTTTTCCTGGCAAAGCCGTCTGCATCTTCCATGATGATGTCCAAACCCACCTCCTCGTCCCTATCCCCGTCATCGATACGCGAACAGTCCTCACTCCCCTCACACCCACACATATCATCCCACTCCTTCTCCCACGGCCCCAACCCGTCAAAAATGCTAACAGGGCTAACCCGCAACTTCTCCCGGGCTTCTTTGCCCGACCTGCCCCTCACTTCGAGGCGCAAGTTCGCTACATCAACCGAGCTGTTGACGATTGGATTAACCTCGACGCCGTCATCCATGACTGTGGTTCCGATCTAGTGAGTAGGTGTTAGCAAGTTTCCACCGTAGTTTGACGATTGAGAGGGCAACTAACGATTTGTGCGGGATAGGAAGCGATGAAGTCTTTATCGGGTTGCCATCCTACTAGTATGCCGGCGATGTGGTATTGTGGTAGGACTTTTTCTTGTTGCCCTAGCTTGCGGTCGTCGGAGTCGTCGTCAGAGTCGAAAAGCGTCTCGGAGTCCGTATCGCACTCCGTGTCGGACGTAGCGCGAGAGAGGGTTGAGAAGACTCCCTGGGTCTCAGCCGGTTTTGTTGTGAACTGCATGGATACGGTGTAGTAGGTTAGGGCAGTCGTGTGACTTATAGAAACTCGCGGTGAGGATGTGTAGGCTTCTAAGAGGAAAAGTTCGAGATGAATGCATACTATAGATAGCTGAAGTTAAACCGTGGTTCCGTTTCTGAAATTATATCATTATTGCTCACTTATCGTAACGCGCCAACGAGACCGAGAATGTTTCCAAGAGTGGGGTGCGAAAGCTGGAGTCATAGGATGCAGAGTCGATATAGTTGGATTTCACTGCAGCTTGCAGTAATTTCTGCCATGGTTCACTTGCCAGCGACACAGACTCACCTCAACAGCCATGCCTAAGAAACCAGCGATACAGATACCTCCAGAATCACTCACACTAGTCGCGCCCAGGCTGAATTCCCTATCCTCTTTCGGCACATTGTCTGTAATCTCGGCAAAGGTGCTGACATAGACCAGCCCACCTAATAGACCTTCCCAGAAAATGATTACGCAAACGATGTAATAGCTCGGGATGAAATTGAACATGGCGTGCAACGCGAGGACAATGAGGTTGGCGACTTGAAGAAATGACGGGACGTAGAGGTGGTGTATGCGTATGAAGGGTGTGGAGGATCGCGAGATAAAGACACCGACCTGGTAGATAGCGCCATAGGTGCTATAGAAGGAGCGGTATTCGTCGAAAGGAGAGGATTCGAGAGGGAAGAGCAGAGTGGGTGCGACGCCCTGGTTGATAGTGTACTCGGCGATGTAGACAAGAAGGAGGGGCAGCATACTGTGATGCGTTAGTCTGGAGTGGATGAGATTTCAAGGATCGGGCTTACTATGGGAAGAACAGGCCTCGCGCGCGGTTGAGGTTTGCGCGAAAGCTACTCAGCGCACTATTAGCACCGGTGTTAGTGACAGAGGGGAAACTGCGGCCTGAAGCCGAGTGCATGGAGGAAGACAACAGGTCGTCTTGTTCCTGCGCCGGGCCTACTTCCTCTTCCTCATCGTCCCCATGGTCATCGATGGCTTCATAGTCGCCTTGTTTCTGGATGCCAGCGCGCAGCGGGCCGAGTGGAAGGATAATGAAGAAGCTCAGCACCATGATTTGCGGCAAGAAGGAAAAGACGAGTAGACTTGTACGAGGGGTGATGCCGAGCGTGTTGGTCGCAATGGCGTAGGCTCCAGCACCAATCAAGCCGGCGCCTCCCGTGCCCGAGCCCCAGGAAGCCAGAGCAAAGTGGCCGTAGTAATGTGTCAGGCCAAGGAAGCTCAGTTCGCCAGCTCCACTGCTCAGACTGGCAAGCATCACTCCGCACATCTTGATGGCGATGGTCCCCGAGTCCTGCAGTGGAGGCGTGAGGGCGATGATGAGCATGCCGCATACGGAGAGAGCGACGAATATGACGATGCGCACATTGTAGGGGATCTTGTGGATAAAGTACGGGGCGCACAATTTGGCGAGGAACGAGGGAATGACATCGGCGAGGAGCACGACGCCTTTGGGGACATTTGGGCCGACGAGGTCGAGGGCGGCGGAGAGGATGATTACGTAGAGCACGTTGTTAATGAGGCCTGGGCGTGTTAGTCGCGGTGGAGCGGACAGTGTTGGTGCCCCTCTTTGGGGGGTTCAGGTGCATGCATACCGAACAACCAGAAGGCGGCGCACACGCGTGGGTCGGCGCCGTGGAACACAGCCTTGAGGCGCGCACGGTAGACGGCCCAGGAAGACGCGGGAGAGCCAGGCATGGGGAGAAGCGGCATAGGATGCAGAGGCTGGTGTTACTTCACATATCGCAGGTTTGGGGGTGAAAGCTACGGGCACGTGTCACGCGCCTCAGATGACGAGGGGCAGCTGCTGGCTGTACCGGTGTTGATGGCTGGGCTGGACTCGGACATGGATGGGTGCACCTGCCGATCGGGCTTGGCGCGAGGCGGTCAACTGGAAGGAACGATTCAGGAACGGGCTGCATGGGAACGGGCGTCGCATGTTCCGACGAGCATGGGTATTTCTTTTTGTGCGCAGAGCGGGCAGTCTGGGCGGGGCTACGACGAACTATGGCCAGGGGCCCTCTGGTATACGCATCATCATGCGCCTGAGGGCTTTGAGGCGAGCAAACGTCCTGTGGCCGTGTGGGCGTGTAGGCGCTTTGTGGGAAGCAGCCCTATCACATCGCCAGTGCCTGCCCTCTAGTCGGGCTCTCGCTTTTGTCGCTGCATGCGGGGCTGCGCTAGAGTCCTACAGGGATCGTGGCGCTTGGTCCCATTGCGCCTTCTCGTTTCCTCGCATGCTCGAGGCTTCTTTTCTTCTGCAATACTGCTGCTCGCTCTGGGCCGCACCCCTCCACACGACGACGACCATTGTACTCTCCGTAATACGCTAGCGAGCGAGAGCGTGTACTGCTATCCCGTACTTGCGACACTTTCATCCTCACCACCTCTCCGATGAGCCCAAGCCGACTATGGACCGCCCGCCGCCCTACCAACGACCACCAGATCGCCCTATGAACTACCACCCGCAAACGACGCAAGCCTACCCAGGCCACCCGCCAGCCTCACAACCACAACCGCAACAGCCACTCCACGCTCCGTATGCAGTCGACCCGTACTCGATGCCCCGGCGCGACCCATTCTTTCCTTCAGGACCACAACACGTTCGACGCAGTAGTCAAGGACTACCGGCTGGTAATAATGCGCCGCAAGGCCAGAATGAGGGACAAGGGCAGGGTGGCTGGTCAAATACAGGTACGGGCTACCATTTCCACAAATGTCTTGGAGAACACATCTGCGCAGTACGCACGGGGGACGGAGGGTCTGTGTAGCCTGGACATGCATGTGTACAATTTTTGTAGCTCTCACCAGTTCACAAAAGGTGCCCCGTCATCCAGGCTGCATTTCGACCTGTATGTCTCAAGTCTGTGGCACCGCTCGCGTGGCTGTCTGGCGCTCGAGGAACAGGCAAGAGACGGTAGTGGGAAGGCATTGCCTGCATGGATTGCTGCATGACACGTCAATTGCGAAAAAGCACTTCACCGCCTGTCGCCCTCATATCGACGCAGGCAAATGCAGGCAGTCTTTCCCTACTAGTGTCGCCATGCCATCCTGAGCCACACCAACATCTGCGTTTGCTCAACGGTGCGCGCCATTTGTCGGTGGAGATGGCATGGGTCTGGCGAATTCTATGGCGCACTCCGCAGATGTGGCTCCTAGCTAATGCACGATCCGCGGGCCTCTAAACCTCTTTCGAAAAGTCGCGACTCGCCGTCCGAGCTTGTGCTGATCCATGTCTTTAGCGCGACCGATACACTACGAGACTCATCACTCCCAGTCGCACCCTCCACCGCAAATGTCCACTTCCAACAACCCTCCAGCCCCGGCGCCCTATAGCTTCGATGCTGCGCGCGCCTCGTCGCTGAACGCTGCCAGCTCTCCGAACCCCTATGGTACAGCCCCGCTCCCAAAAGCAATGGTCAAGCTTTGTCCCAAACTAACTCTCCCCCAGGCCCGTCTCACGAACCTCCACCTCCACCATCCTTCGCGCGGCCCCAAATGCCTCCTCCATCGTCCCCCACACAGCAGCATCTCCATGCATCCCAGTCGCAGCGTCCACAATACACCTCCAACTTTGGCGCCAACAGAGAGCTTCCTGGCCTAGGTCAGGCGTTGCGACCGGGAAGCAGCATGTCCATCTCATCTCTTATCGGCGGCGGCGGTGACACAGGTGCGCTCAACCAAACAGCGCAATCACAGCCCTCGCCTCCCACCAACGCCCCAGTACCCAACGGCCACAGCATGCAGCCACCTTCGCCTCGACGTGGCCTGCCCGCTGGTTCACGGTCGGATTTCCCTCTGTTTCGCCGTCAACCCACCCCAGAGCGCAACATGTACGGCAGCAATACCTCGCGGCCATCTGAAGGCCATGCCTTCTCGGCCGGCTCACCCAGACAGTCCTACAGCAACCATGGCTCGCCTGATCCGGGCCGCCAGTCGCTGCCACCAACGACACAACCCTACAAGCCCATGAACTTCGCCGGCCACCGCCCCTATGCGCAGGATACAGGTCGACAGCCGGCCGCGAATGTCCCACCCCGACCGAACAGCCAACCGATGGGCCCTCTGGCAAACACCGAACAAGAGGGCAGATCTTCGTACGACGGGTTCCCAGGCCGGCGCAGCGCCTACGGGCCAAACGAGGAGCGGCGGCGCACACTGGGGGAGTCGCATCACGCAAGGCCCAATGCTGCAGAACTCTTAGCAGGCACAAACCACAATGCTTCTGAGAGGGATCGGCCCGTGACTGTTCACCCTGTGTCGCAGTCTGGCTTCAGTCCACCGCAGGCGCAGCGCAACATCTCTGGCTCATCCGAACCTCCACGCAGTCTGTGGCGGCAATCAGCGCCCACCGGTGCTGTCCATGAACCTCCTCATGACAGTCGCGCAGAGGAACCTCCGCCGATGCATCGCACCTATGGCCCGTACCCCCCATCCATGCTAGGCGCTCCCCGATACGGCGCCCAAAGTTCAGAGGATATGTTGCGACGCAGTGTAGACCAGTTGGGCCATCGCGTAGTCGAGCAGTACCACGCTCCTCCTACCTCCGACCCCAACTCCCTAGAGCGACAGAGGACCGAGCCACTCGCACGCTCTCTATCCTCCAGCGGAAGATCGCTCTACGACCAGCCTTCCAGGATGGGCGAGGCCATGCAACACTCGAAATCGCACATTGGCTTTGGTTTGGAGGCGAGCAGACGAACGGGCAGAGCGTCTCCGCTTCCACAGGCTGTTCAAGGTGCCTCGGCGCAGCCCTTGTCCGTTGGCAAAGATCCTGGAATCAAGAGCGAATTCGGGCGCATGTTCTCCGGTCTCGGCAGCGGGCTGGGATCGACGACCCCATCGCGGGGAAGTCCCATGCCACAGAACGGCCAGGGCTCATTCGAATCGGACAACGGCGAAATGATGAGAAGAATCGGTTCTCAGCAAGGAAGGAAGCCGAAGCGAGTCAAGGATGAAGAGGGAATCTTCGACATCGAGAATGCTGATGGTAGAGGAACACCCGGTGCGCGTGGGACCAAACGGAACAAGCACCATCATCATCAGTGAGTTCCCTCAATGCCATACAAGATGCGTACTAACAGTATAGTCACCACCATCACCATCACCACCAACACAAGCCTGACGAAGACACGTCGATCCAGCCAACCTCAACTACCATTAACGGGCGACACCCCAGTCTACCACAAGCTGGCCCAGGCCAATCAGTTCATCACCACCATCACATTGGAGGAAACCCTCATCACCATCATCACCACCACCACACCCCTCGACCTAACCTTCAGCCGTTGCAGCAAGTAACAAAGATCCTGACCAAGGTCCACGACGTACAGCCTGTTCTTGACGATGCTGCGAAACGCCCTCGCAAACATCTTGGATCACAGCTGTACGATGCAAAGACAGAGCTTCCCAAGCCCAACTCATCGCTAGATGACCAGTTCGGATACGCCTCGAAACCTCAACGACTGCCTCGTTTCGACGTCAATCCCATCAATTGCACCTTTACTATCAGAGTGCCGCGGTACTACCTGAAGCCACGACAACGCCAGCACGTCGTGTTGGAGAGGCATCTTTGGGGTGCGCGCGTGTATCGCGACGATTCAGATCCTATTGCTGCTGCGATCCACTCTGGATGGATCCGTGGTGAATGGGATGATACTGTCGACGTCACTATGCTCGACCCACGCATCACTGCGCCCAATGATCCAGCCGACGCCGCTGATGTTCTAACAAAGGTGCCAGCGGCCCCTGTGACACCACCCGCCGATATGGACTTGCAAATTGAGATACTCGTCTTGCCGCAACTTCAGGAGTACACCGGTTCCGTCGAATATGGCATCTCGAGCAGGAAGAGCAAGGCTCATGAGGGTCTCAGCTTCATGATCAATAAGATTCGATGGGTTGAGGAAGGCATCGGCAGCCGAGGACAGGAACGAACAGCGGCGGCATTGAAGCGACGATTGGATGCCAGCGCGACTCTGCTTGCTTTGCAAAGGGGAATCGACAACACGCACAGGGTCAATGGCATGACCAAACTGCATGCTTGAGATTTAGTTGGATGGATCAAGGTCCATGACATATAACGGCCGTCTGGAGAGTGATTTAGCATGGCATTTGTAGCGCAGGATGATTTTAGCATTGCTAGATACCCGCATCTTTATAGCTTGAGTCTGGCGTAGGATTGCACATAGCGTCGGCGAATTCTGGGAAACGATGTAATGAGGAGTTGCACACGACATGAAAAAAACTTTTACTTTTCGCATTATCTATCTGTGTTGCTGAGTGCTTTTCCAACTGTACGCCTATGGCTGCACTGCGTTGTTATCAGGTCAGCCACACGTGGGGAGTGGTAACCAATCCCGCGGCGATCACACACCGCAGTACCAGAGCGATAGCGGCCTGGACGTACCCCGGGCTTGCGTGTACGCACCTTAAGCAAGAGCAGTCTATCCCATTTGCGTGGTGTGCATTTGATCCTTCAACCTTCAACGCCCAGGCGACAGATCGCGAGGTACACGATACTCTGGCAGCCCACTGCCCCGCCACGACGAAAGCTTACGTGACGCCCCTCATCACAACGCGTACAATAACTGATGTCAACGATGCATCACCGGACTTACTCCATATCGACTGTAAGTAGTCTTTTTTCCTTGCTGGGATCTCCAGCATGCACCATTGTTTTTTTGCCGATTTACGACGACTGGCGCGCGACTACGACGATGTAAAGAAATTTCGCTCCCATCCATCACGTCTTTCCGGCAATCGGCGGCTTTAGGCAGGCATGTTTCTGGACCCCCTAGCTATGCTGCTGGAGCCATTGTCGTCATACCGCAGAAGCAGGCGGCATCGTGGCACACGACCCGGAGAGCTCGTAGCAGCATGGCAACGGCTGAGAGTCTTGGAGCTGTCCTGCCGGTGCCCATTGCTGTAGGCAAGCACCAAGGAATGCGCATGGGCAGGCGCCAACGATGACCGTTGTTTGCGCTGTCACGACTGCCGGACATGTGGACACATCGGACTGCAGCCACACGTGCTATCGAATGAGAATCACCCGTTACATCTGCTCCACCGCGCCCGCTAGCCTGGAGCCGCAATCCGAACGCTTATTGCTCTGGCTTGTGAAAAGAAGGACGCCGTACCGAATGCGGGGGAATCATCGTCAATCAATCCATCTCCTCTCGCTTCTTGACTGCCGGGCCGACCTGACGACCCTGCAACACGACACTCGACGTCCATACACTTATTGCTTCACCTAACAGACGACTTCAGCCGTGCGACTCCACAGCCTTCTGTTGACCGCCTAGCATCTGCCCTTGCTACATCGTTGATTAAAAGCCGCATTCTCGCTGCATCTCGGAATACCTTCGGCTAGATTTCCGATCCGTATAACTTTTACTTCGCTTCGCCAGTCGCATCGTCACTGGACTTCAGGAAGCTGTACTTGCCGCATACAATGACCGACTCCAATGCCGACTCCAATGGCTTCTATGCGCCCAATATGCGCGCAGTGCCTGCTGGCGACTTCGTAAGACCAAGCAGAAAGACTAACGGTGCTGGTGTACAGGCCGAAGACACGCGGATATGCGTCGTCATGGTAGGCTTGCCCGCGCGGGGCAAGAGTTTGATTGCACAGAAAGGTACGTTTCTCCTGTACGGTCTCGTATAAACACTAACGAGTTGCAACGCAGTGGTTCGCTACCTCCATTGGTTATCGATCAAATCCAAGACGTTCAACGTTGGCCAGTATCGTCGTACTGCGACCCCAAACCCCTCCGCCGAGTTCTTCGATACCTCCAACCCAGAAGGAGAGCGTCTCCGGAAAGCAGCCGCCGAAGCAGCTGTTAACGACATGTGCAAATGGTTTTCTGAGGGCAGGGGCTTGATCGCGATACTAGACGCCACAAACTCGACCAAGAGCCGGCGCAGGTGGATACAGGAGCGATGCGCTGCCGAGAACATCGAGACACTATTCGTTGAGTCAAAGTGCGACGACGAGGATCTCATTATGAGCAACATATTGGAAGTAAAGACGACATCTCCAGACTATGTCGGTCAAGACCCCGAGGAAGCTGCAGCGGATTTCCGCAACCGTATCCGGAACTACGAGAAGGTGTACCAGACCATAGACGAGGACGAGCGCGATCTTACATATGTCAAGCTCATCGATGTGGGAAAGCAAGTCATCATCAACCAGATCCAGGACTATCTCCAGAGTAGGGTCGTCTACTACTTGATGAATCTCCACATCAAGCCGCGCTCGATCTGGTTATCGCGAGTAAGTATATGTCGCAAACCCATACTATGAAAACTAATCGTGGCAGCACGGTGAATCCGAGTACAACCTCACGGGCCAAATTGGAGGCGACGCAAACCTGTCAGAGCGAGGAGATGCTTACGCGCATGCGCTACCCGGTCTGGTTGCGAAATCGGTCGGCGACGGTCGCAAACTTACTGTCTGGACCTCAACCTTGAAGCGAACGATCCAAACCGCACGATTCCTCACATTCGAGAAGTTGGAATGGAAAGCGCTCGACGAACTCGACTCCGGCGTCTGCGACGGTCTCACATACGCTCAAATCGAACAGAAGTTCCCCGAAGACTTCAAGCAACGCGACGAGGACAAATACAACTACCGTTACTTGGGTGGAGAGTCATATCGCGATGTTGTCATTCGTTTGGAGCCCATTATCATGGAGCTGGAGCGGAGCGAGAACATCTTGATCGTTACACACCAGGCCATCCTGAGGTGTATCTACGCATACTTCATGAACGTACCACAAGAGCAGAGCCCGTGGATGGAGGTCCCGCTACACACGTTGATAAAATTGACGCCCAAGGCGTACTCAACACAGGAAGAGAGATTGAAAGCCGACATACCGGCGGTCAGCACCTGGCGAGGTAAGGGCAGCAAGGCTGAGCATCAGCAGGCAAATGGCGGCACATAGCCTAACTCCTATCCAGCTCCCGGGGAAATCTGCGGCGCGCCTGCTCCCCTGGGAGCGGATGTTGGAAGAATCGTAACGAACTAGGCCAGTGCAAGTCTGGCTCGGCACTATAGACGGACAAAGAAGGTTACCAGGGACGGCGCGTGTGTTAAGCATTGGGCATAGATTGGCATTTCAGCGTTTTGGTCACATCACTAGACGGCAATATCCAAGGTCGACGGTCAAGATGGGAAGGAGTCGACGTCTCTAAGCATAGCAGTAGCTACTAGATATCAATGTCAAAAACCATTCGATATCAGAACGGTTCTCAATCTACCAATATGCTGTGAATTCACGAAAAGCTGCGACGCAGCAGCACACAAAGCACTAACAAACAAGCACGTACTACCAGTCTTGGGAAGCATGATGGTAGTGCCTCGTCGCTGCCACCTTCCCATCTCAGCCTCCCCCGCGGACATTGACCATCATCGCAACCCCACCCAAACCCCAAGCTCCTCCCGCATCGCACATACACAGCATCCCAACAGCACACCTATTCTGTAAACACCTTGAATCCCGTCGCTCTCGCCCAGCCCCAGCAATGCGATCATGACATGGCCACCCCCCAACCCCGGCGGCGTAAACCTCCAGTTCATCGCCGAAGCGCAACAAATCATAAACAGCCACAACCAGCACCACGCGCACCAGCCTTCGTTCACTCACGCTACCGGCGGCCACGCACCCATCACCAACGACGAAATCGAATCAGAAGCTGCCTTCAACGCCCAGTTCACTGGCCCCCCCGTGCTGTTAGACTACGATACACTCACCGGTGCGGGTTCCAGCAGCGGTGGGTACAGCGCGCACCGTTTACATGGGCAATCACCACAAACAGGAGGAAGTAGTAGTGCTGGTAAGGCGGAGGCTCCCAGTAAAGCCACGCTGGAAACACGCAAGGGTATACAGGCACGGGGCAAGAATTGGAATTCATTCTCTGGCGAAGCGCAGGGGAGGGCGTGGGAGGAGAGGCAGAAGAGGGATGAGGCGGTTAGTATACTAGAGAGTGAGGAGATGCTCATGTGGATTGCGGGGGTGAGGAATGAGGTATGTCCCGTCAACGCTCACACAAGTTGGAGAGGAGATCGGTTGCTAATTCGTGGTGGATACAGAGTGTACCGCAAACGCGCGCGTTTTACCGTAACATCGTCCTCGGTCTCTCACAACCGGATGCGGATTGGAAGGACGAGTGGGAGGTACAAGGTACTGGAAGTGGAGCCGCAGAAGGGCAGGTTATGGCTGGGAGTGGAAGTCCGGCGAGAAGTGGAAAGGGTAAGGAGAGGGATATTGCAAAGATGAGGAAGAGAGTTAGTTCGGGGCAAGGAACTGCTTGAACGGAAGCTCGCATGTTCATGGTGAGATTCTTTGGCGTTACTTTGGATTCAAGGCGGATCGCGTTATACCCCAGTTTTTTTGTTTTGTTCACATGAGGGACATCTGCAACGGCAAGACGTATAGCATTACTATTTTGCGTTGCGTAACTATTGCTCCCTTCCGTCTCATTCTCATTTGTGTTCCAAGATCATACATGGCCTTCGCCAAACGCCGTGTCTTTCTTACGTGCTGAAGGCCAAGCCTTTGCCAGCCCAGGCCAGACCGAACCCAAAGAACGATTGACACCTTTTCACCAAAGGTCGCGGAAAATGCCAATGTCAAAGCCCATCTGTTGCCCCCCAACTTTCAACCGCAGCTCCGAACGATATCTGCCAAACCGAAAATCGTACATCTCACATACCCTCCTCCATACCGACGTTCCTCCACCAAGGCTTACCATCCTCGCCACTAGCCTTATCAGCAAACATATCTGCCGCATCGCCCACCTGCCTCCTCTCACTAATCTCCCTGCTAACCTGACCCGACAGCTTGAGCTTCATTGCCTTGCTCGCCAGGAAAGGGTTATACTTTCGCGAACCGTTACCTTGCGCCATTCCTCGGGATGACCGGATGAGTTCGCTCGACGTCCATCCGCCCCTCATGACGGGTAATTGCTATTGCAGAGGTTCTGAGGAGGAGGAGAGGCGGTTGAGGTGGAGGTAGACATCTGTGCCGTATCTATAACCGATGTTGTTAGTGACGAGATTGTCTTGAGGTGTGAGTGGGGAGGCTTACCCTTCCATGGAAATCAACTTCAAATCTCCTCCAAAGTAGCGTGCGTATAGCCTTGATATGGGTAACCCGTAACCGAATCCAGCCATGGGTGCTTTGAAATCACTCTTGTTGAAGTCGGGGTCCAGGCTCGGTGTTTGGTCGACGGTCGTGTACATGTAAGTCCATACCAGCGGAATCGATGATCTGGGGATACCGCCTCCTTCATCCGAAATCTTAATTGTGATATCCTCCTTGCCCTCTGCAACAATGACCTTGGTCACAGGGAACTCTTGTTTATCCTGTCCATGTCTTTCCACCACAGCACGCAGCGAGTTCTTGAGAGTCTCGAACAACATGTGCGACAAATGTCCTGGCACGTACATGAAGCTGATATCCGGGTTGCATACGAGCTGGACCTTCGGTGCGTCGAATAGTCCGTAGTGGTCCTCGCAGACGAAGCGCGCATTCTCAATAGCCTCCTGGGCCAGTTCTTGGACATTGGTCTTTGTGCAGATTATACCGACGTAGTTGGGATCGTTTCGCGAGCGTTGGTCTGTGAGGGCGATGTGCTGGCCGATGAGCATACGGATACCGATACGCGACATGTAGAAACGGTCGAGGAAGGCTTGGATGTTGTGGTCGATCTGCATCCTTTGCCTCTTGCGCTTCCATTCGAGAATGCCTTGTGCGACCGTCGTAACGACGCTGTCGTGCCGCCTCTTGATCTTCTCCAATGTGTCTGCGAACTTTGTGTTGTATGCGCCCAGCTCTGGCGGCCACTCCTGTCCGTCATCTGCGGCGGCATAGTATCTCCGGCTCGCGCCTTTCACTTCTTTTGTGATTGTGCCGCCGTTTCCGTTGCCATTGCCGTTACCGTTCGTCGTCGGCGCGGAACGGTATTGTCCTGTTTTGATGCTGGGGTTCTGCGTCGGCTTGCTCATCAGGTTCTTGTCGCCGGCTTTCTTCGCTGGTTTGAGGAGTCGCTCCTTGACCTCGCTCGAGAGGGTCGGCCGGGGCAGTTCGACGAGTTCCTGTCAGATGAGTCAACGCGCTCCAGCGAGAACCTTAGCAATACACACTTCGAATGACTGCGCATACCAGTCGCGCACTCTTTGAATCGACGGCATCTCATTGAGGCCATCTGGGAGTTCGTTGAGCTCTTCCACTCGGTGGGCTAACCGTATGGGCAGTTCCTCAGAAAGGAATTGTGACGCGCGGAAGAGGGTTCCCGTAGATGGCTTCTCTCCAAATTGCACCATTTGCCGTAAGGAGACACCTGGTGGGATGTCAGACGAATACTGTAAGTGACCATGCGTGTTGCATACCGGTTGCTGGAAAGTTGCTGTAGTGCTATCCGAATGTTAGCTACAACCGCGACTGTGCGACAGGCTCGCCCACCTTGATGGTGTCCATCAGCCTCTCGCTCCGTTTCCACGACATGATGCCAATTGTACAGGCCGAAACGGCCTTTGTCGCTGCGTATTCGCCAAAGTGGTGCTGGTGATGGTGGTGTTCACTGTCGAGCTACCCGAAGCACAGTTCCCGCCCCACTATGACGCTAATTGGTCTCGCTGCTACAGGCCGAGGTAACGGCGCGTCTGGATGCTGGGGAGCGATTTGAGAAAGAGAAGAGTGAAGTGGAAGAGAGACACATGTGCTCGTGTGCCCTATGACAGACTAGATGGCTGATGTACACGGAGTCTTCCGGCGATGACACCACTGCGACGAGCACCTGCGCTTCCCCCACACTTGACCTGCTTTCACGTGGAGATGATGCGGAAAAGGCGCCACGAAGCCTCACGCTTGAATTACTGACATCCCGCAGTTGACGAGACACAATGTGTCTACTTTTTTGAGTCCCCATTGCTTTTATTACCCATGCTGTCTAGCGAAACGACGTGTTGACATTGCAAGTCTTCCGCAAGCATCCATGAGCTCCAGCCACACCATCCTCGGTTAGCTGTCGGAGAAAGCACCGGTAGAGCGCATGTTCCTGGCTGCATGTTCCTCAGGTCCGAGGATGCAAGGTGCTCGCTGCTCGCGTGAGTCGCTCCCTAGAGGCTAGCACTAGACTATTCTTCTAGTCTGTACATTTTGTGGAAATGCCGCTCAACGTGTCAGAAAATTTGCGATGTATGCAATTGGCTCATCATCAGCTGCATGTCTGTAGTCGGAGATACGAAACCGATGCTTTGACCAATTCTGCCGTCTCTGGAAGTAAATCGAAATGAATCACTAGGGGCTGCACGATGTTTGCGACTTGTTCACAGAAGGTGATGAGTGTGTTGAATGATCGGTAGAGGAGATTTGGTATTCCGAAAGTGCAACTAAGTCCAAACAGGCTCTATGCCGCACCAAAGTCGAAAAGCGCCTTGAAATGATACACCTAACATAATCTACATGAAGGGGCATTGCGGTCTAACTGCGCTCACCGCCTCCGTCGTTCGTCTATCATCGATGATGGTACAATCCAAACAGTTTTTGGGTCGAAAAGGTATTATAGAAAGGTCATGGCGTGTCGATAGGATGGTATAAACGTTCGAGAGGTGATACGCTTATTTGGTCTCGTTCTGGAGGAAGGTGATCAAGTCGTTGCGGTCCTTGGGCTTCTTGAGACCACCGAAAGCCATCTTGGTTCCGGGAATGTACTTCTTGGGGTTCTCGAGGTACTCGAACTGTGCTTCGTCAGCATGCATGCCCACAACGAAAGCGTCTTCTTGGGGTATAACGTACGAGAGTCTCGTTGCCCCACTCGACACCCTTCTGCTTGTTGGCGTCGGTGTATGAGAAACCCTCAACCTGACCGGACTTGCGGCCGAAGAGACCGTGTAGGTTGGGGCCAATCTTGTTGCCCTCGCCCTCCTTCAGGGTGTGGCACTGAGCGCAGCGGGTCTGGAGATTCGTTAGACTACGTTCGGGAGGCGTGGACGATGGCGCTGAGGCCAGTTCGGTGTGTTCGTACCTTGAAGAGGTTGGCACCCTTCTTAGCATCGCCTGTGGAATGTGTTAGTTGTATGTAGTGACAAAATTTTGTTGCCCAGCCAAACAATCCGCCACCGTCCGCCCTTTGTCGCAAAGCTGCCACCTTGCGCTCACCGCTTCTCGAGTTGTCAATTATTCGGTCGGTACACCGGAAATAATTGATCCCTCATAGGAGTCGGATATCGGTATGCGCGCAGGCTCAATGGGTAGCAGACGATGGTCGACAAAGTGACAGACGGCCGATGACGTCTAACCGGTGTCAAGGAAACGTACCCTGCTCGAAACCCATTTTGAAGATGTGGTGGTGGTTGGGGTAAGATGAAGTGTTGGTGGAGGTGGAGTGGTGAAAGTTAATGTAACTTTGGTCGTGACTGAGAGGCTGTGAGAGAGAAAAGATGGCCAAGTAGGAGTTGAGAGGCTTGAGAGAGTTTTAAGAATCTTGCCGTTAGCCGCGACGAAATGACGGGCCCAGGGCCCTGACGCGAGCACGGGTCACGGGACTGGCCAATCAGGCGACAGGTATAACTCAGTAGCAAAAAGTGCTCGGGTGGAACCGGTCCGGGATGGCAAACAGGAATCGCGATCAAATGGCGGTGCACTCGCCGCATCAGGTCTCTGTTCCTCAGCCAACTTGCCGTCGCTACTCGGAGTACTTTCACGCCACGCCGTCAATTGCGATTCAGACTATCTCGCAACTTACTCGGCAATCTCGCATGAAGCTTGTGGGATGATGCCGTCACCAAGTGCTGCGCTGGCTGCTGCGAGTCTTTTTAGCAATCGTGCTGCCGTCAATCATCGTGAAGAATTTCGCTGTTCTTTCCCCCGGTGGTAGAATAAGCAGCGTCTGGCCTATTTGGTTGCCCTGCAGGACGCTTCTTCCCTGCTTTCTCTGGCCCGAATTCGATATGTGAAGCCTGTACAAGGGTCCGCAAATCGATGTGACATGCCCACTAACCCGCGCACCTCCACGCACCTGGTTCCCTAACATGACGGGCCAGGGTCATGAATAACGTTCTCTGTTATCTGCACAGCAGCACATTACTATTTCAAGCACCGGCCAGGATCGACACTATTCTGCCCTCTTTGCCAACAGCCTTCTAGTGTTGGTCAGTCGCACTTCAGCCCCAGCTCAACGGTTGACATCATCGTGCCCCGCCACACCTCGACCGACCGGATGGACCAGATTCCGGGCATTCTATACGCCGATGAGGACTTTACCACATGGCTGATACTCGGCGCCAGCAGAGGCATAGGGCTAGAGTTTGTCAGACAGCTGTTAACTAAGAATGAGCGCATCATCGCTACTGTGCGGGAGCCTTGGGCCGGTCATGCCAGCGGTCTGTGGGGACAAGCGGGGAGCGATCATGGCCGATGCCAAATGTACACATGCGACATATTGTCAGAGCAAAGCATAGAGGTGTGTGCTGTTGACGATGGCGTTGTCATTCCAGAGGGAAACTAACTGGCCATCCGCAGAAATTCGTTGCGCAACTGGCCATGATACCGAACCTGAAGATAGACTACGTCGTATTAAACGCAGGAGTGCTAAGATACCCAAACGTAAGTCCGACATTGTCCACAGCATGCAAGGGAGCCGCACTAACCGATGTAGAGGGCCACTGAGCTGTGAGTCTCCCATTACCGTTGCCGTTACGCCTTGCTGGTTATGGCTAAAGCGTGCATTTCCAATAAACGACAATCAATCTGAAGTGGCTGAAGTACTGGAAATTAACATTTTCTAGGTCTTTCGACGAGTTTGCCTTCCATTTGCATACCAACACCATTGGGCCCATCATCACAGCGCAAAAGTTGCTGAAAACAAACATACCAATTGGCACCATCGTCTTCATGTCCAGTGACTCGGGCTCGCAAGGTAACTTCCGGGAGATGGAGGACGGGTTCGCTGCATATGCTGCATCAAAAGCTGCACTCAACATGGCAGTAAGGCACATGGCCGCTGAGTTGAAGAGAAAAGACGATGATACCATCATCTTGTGCATGCACCCGGGAGAAGTCGCAACGGACATGGCAAACGTTCAGCTACCGTGGGAAGTCCAGGGCATAATCACACCAGAGGAGTCAGTGATGAAGATGATCGAAGTGATCAAGAGCAAAGGCATACAGCACAGCGGCACATTCTGGACTTATGAGAATAAGGTCAGTATCTTACACCTCACTCGCGGACCAATCACTAACATTGACCTAGCCGTACATCTGGTGACAGCTGAAGATATCTGTAACGCTTACGACTCTCATATCCTTGCATACTCTTCGTAAAATCTCCGCTAGGCAGTACCTATACCCACATACTAGAATGTATATGCATTGTTGTTTCATGACCTTTGCTACCGTTCCCTTCGGATGAATCCTCCATGCCCGTCGCCGTGGCCCAATTCCATACACCACAGCCCCTGTCAAGCAATCTCGCCGACCATCCGACGAACTTCGTCCGTGTCCCAATCCAGCCTCTCAGAACCAGCAGGTAAAACATAGTCGACTAGAATCCGCACCGGTCTGATTGGTTTCGCCTTTTCCTTCTCCACCCGGCGGAACTTCTGCGCGCGCCGTGCCGCCTCCATGACATGTTGTATCTTCCTATCGGACTCTCCGGCCACATACTTGCTCGCCATGTACGCCTGAGACTCTGATGCTGAGAGGCCAATCACACTAGTCTGGGTGACTACACTGTCTTCGCGTTTCTGTCGCTTCCGGTGGTGCAAGTCTTTGTCTTCGTCACGCTCACTCTCGATGATGACGAGAGGTGCGGACGGAGATGTCGAAGTTGGAGAAGACACAGTTTTGTTGTCGGGTGTGGGTTTGGCTGTCAGATACCTCCAGAACGAAGGACAGCCGCATACACCATCTTGTTCTGGGTTTCGATGACACTTGCGCTTTGCCATTCTGGTGATGGGCTGTCGTTATGTGTTATAGTCTGCCAAGTGTGAACTCACAAGGAAGTTGTGTTGTTATTGCGATCGAGGTTGGTAAGGACAGAAGATGGAAGCGAGGACGCGAACTTATATTTGATGAGGCTATGGTCAGTGGAGGCTGTCTGTGTGTGTACAACGACGGTGACTCTACGCAACAACGTAAGGGTGAGCGAGTCTCTTACTGTAGTAAAGCTGAACGAAGGGGTGAGACAGGGTGGAAGTAACCGGTACCTTCACCTGGGTATATTCGTCGAACCTCGAGTCTAATAACAGAGCCCTTAACCCATAATATCAATATCATACAATCCCTCTACAATAACATCTACCACAATCTCCCAACAACGCGCACCGCAATCTTAACCGCAACCAACGTCCCCACCGCCAAAACCCCCACTCCAATCCCCAACGCTTTCAAATTCCTCATCTCATTGCTCAAAGCCACCTTCTTCCTCTCCCCAATATTCCCCAAATGCGTCAACGTATCATACTGCGGCACGTACTTGAAGTCAAACGACGTCTCCGTCCCCGCCAAACCCCACTTAGCCTTCACTATCAACGTCCAGAAAATCTCTTTCGCGCGGTCGATCCTCCTGCGATCTGCATTGGGAAACAGGCGGTATGTGTAGCAGTAGAAGATGAAGAAGAGACATTGGCCTGCCATGAGGGACCAGTAGTATGCGGAAACGCGTTTTAGGCCGAGGCGGTCGCAGAGTGCGTTGCCATTTAGCCAGCGGGCGCTGGCGGTTAGCATATCTGCGGACGAGAAAGTTGGGGGCTCTTCTTTGAGCGCATAAATGATGTTGTTGGCCATTGTTTTGGACATTTCGGAGGGGTCGACTTCGTGGTAGAGAAGCGATTCCATGATGACTTTGGCCTTGGTTGGGGTGGATAGCCATTCGTCGGGTGTGCCCATCAAGTAGCCGATGTAGCGCCATAAGGCTAGGTAGTCGTCAATTTCTTGTTTACGGAGGAAGATGCCTTGGCGGGGGAAGCTGAGGTAGATCAGAGTTGAAGAGAAGGTCCCGATTGTTGCGATTTGGTCCAGGTCATTAATTGGTATTCCCCATTCTTCCACGTTAAAGTAGCTTGGGCGTTCTTTTGCGAGTTTCATGATGCGCTGCCGGACCGCGGCGTGTAGGAAGCGGACGCGTATCGATGAGGCGAAACCTTCTCCACCTGGTTTAAGTCCATCCAGTGTTCGCGTACACTGGAGGATGTGCTGTGTAGTTTCAAAGAGTCTGCCTCTTGCTACCTTTGTGCTGAAGCCTCCAGTTCTCGCTAATGTCTCCACCACTCGCGCAGCGCCCATGCCACCTAAGAGTGACTGGAAAGTGAGACCAGTCAAGGCGGGTCCGCCATATCGATAGAACACATCCTGTCCTCTTGCGATCTGGTCCCAATCCACCCAATCCGGTACGGTGTGCACCTCGCGCCACAGTTCCGCAAGCTTAGGATCAGAGTTGTGATTTTCTTCTAGCAAGGCGTAAAGGTCCCTCTTGGGTACTGGCAATGGCTCTTTCTTCTCTTCTTCGGTGCCCGGAACTGATGATAGCGCGGCGCGGTTGCTATCGTTCCTTGGCAGAGCACCCTTGTGCGGTGGCGAGATGGCGTTCAAACGATCAAGACATTCCTCTGCTAAAACATCGTACGAAAACTTCATAGGCTTCATTTGCTCCGGTGTAAGATGTTCAGGCGTCCATTCGAATCGGTATCCCCAGCAGCTGATAGCGGTTAGTGTACGCCATCCATTGTCTTCCGCTTCTGGACGTACTCTTTAGTGTTGGCTGTTCGCCTCTGGAACATATTTGGCATAGCCATATTCAAATAAATGAGAGCGAAACGCAGATGAACGACGTCGATACCGTTAAACACTCAGATATTCGACAAGAGATAATCATTACACGATGTACGGCGAAGATGGTCCGTCATATGATACCGAGGCCCTAGCGCGCATGGGTATGAGGGGATCCACTTCCATTTTTGCCGCGATCGCCCCGCGATCGATCTTGCAAGGAAACTGCCACGGAAGAGTTCGCTGTCGAGATAGCGTGAAGATGCAGGAGGCACTGACGCATGTTCGTTGATGTCACCACTCCGTCGCGTGCTAGTGCGGAACAGATTTCGAAGCCGCAAGAGCGAGCCGGTTCCGATGTAGCGTCACACCTAGTGCTAGGTTAAAGAGAACGCACCCTTCATACCAACGAATGCTACAAGTACGTTATTTGTGATAGCCACCGTGCCGCCGACATGCATCTTAGAACGTGAATAGCGGGAGCCTCTCCACAACCCAATACGTGTAATACAGTGCCGCGACTTGCTTTGACGGCGTCCCCAGCGTACTCCTGCTCACGATGGCCATGCCGAAATCACCGAACCAGAAGAGCCCGCAGCTGAGCAGGACCGCCGCAACACCAAATGTCGCACAATTCTTGAACTTGGACATAATGCATATTAAGATGCCGACCAAGGTTTTCAATCCAGTCAAGCCAACCCACACAAGTAGAACAATAAAGATGGCAGTACCGAAAAGGCTTCCGACATCGCCATCGCCTTCTTCGACTGTGGAGTGGGTGTCAGTCTACCTTGCACATGGATGAAATCAGCGCAACTTATAGGGAAACTCGTAAAAGGCATATATGGAGAAGCACGACACCACTATGAGAGGGATCCCCCAAAAGGATGTCGAATTACTCCAACCAGGATGTCCAACGCACAGGCGATATGTGTGAATGATATCTATCAGAGCATGGAGGACGATTTGCATTCCCGCGAGTATGTAGGGGACGGGAGCCCTTTGTGCGAGCCATCGTAACGCCAGAAAGGATGGTCGAGATGAGCGATGAGATTGTGACCACCGCGATATTCCAGCGTTCTTTCTCCAAAGCCATCCACGGGAGCAAAGGTCTTCTGCCGAAGAAGTGACAGAGGATCACGTAGAAGGTTAGGCCATGGAACACTGCGCCGAGGACTCCATACGGTATGCCGTAAACTTCGATGTGCTCTCTGAGGTTCTTTGCGTCTGTGGTTACGAGGTCGCGTGGCTCGGGGCTCGACATGTGAAGGTCGGTCGGGAATGCTTCTGCTGCGGATGTAAGATAGGCTCCGATGAGTGCCATGGTGAAGAGTTGGCGGTGTCGTCTAGTCATCTTGGGAAAGCTCGACTGTTTGTTGCCGAAGAAGAACGGTAAAAGCTCAGGATAGGATGATTTGGAGATGACTGCTAGACAATGGGAGGAAGTAAGCACATATTTGAACTGCCATGGTGCTCTTTATGATATGCTGTATGAGATGGTCGCCGAATTGCCATCCCTCAATAGCACGACTTTCACCGAAGGCGCACCGCGACCTGCACAACGTTCTACATTTAGGGATGAAGTCAAGGACGTTGTCGCACACCGTTCACATTACCGAAAGCCTTCCGTTGCTTGGGAGTAATTTCCGGCCAATGGAAAAAGCCATTCGAGTCAGCCGCAGTTTGCAGCCTTGTGACAGCAACCGTCACTTGTTCAGCAGCCGCTCGGTATGTCTGCGGAGAATTTTTCAATCTTGTCTGTACATGGGGTGAAGCTGAAAACGGTTCGAATTGACGAGAGCTGGTCGCAGGAAGCGAGGTGTTGTCTTGGCTTTGGGGGCCGAAGCAGTACACCGACGGGGCTGTTGTTCGGTTCACGGGATCCAGGAGAGGCTCAAATTTGCTTGAAGAAGTAGTGGCTCCAGGGATGTCAAGATTAACAGAGGATAGTAGAGCGGTGGGCTTCATGAGTAAGAGGAATGAAAGACAGGCTCAGGCTGTTCGTATAATGCGTCAGGCAAGGAAGGACCGAAGATACAAAGGGAAGAGATCATCGTGATTGTTGCATGAGATCTTGCACGCACTGCTATCATTGCCAAGCAGCAATGTTCGTATCCCTTTCCGACTTCCCAAAGATATTGGGTATGAGCCCTGAGGGTGTTGTCATGCGATGAAATGAGGCTCCTGCTCCGGGAGTAGCGGCGACGTGGGCGGATTTTCGGTCGGAAAAAAAGACGAAGAAACCTTTAATCCGGTAGTATCGTCGCCTTGACGTACTGAAATGTACCGCATTCAAGTCTATGACTGTGTAATTAGTGTTAGAGTGCATGTTAGTCGCCCGCCTGTGGCAAGAGGTGAAGGTCCGTGCGATAGGCTAAGGAACTTCGGAAGGAAAGCACTATCGATACTCAAACACCAACAACCATGAGTTGCCACAATTGCGCCAGAACGACGCTGACCCTGTTCATCCGCTCTTTCGTAAACACCGAGCAAATCCTCGCTGCTCGACGACCGCTACTCCGTCCGCAACAATCGCGGTTCTCGACCGATGCGCGCCGACTACGCAAAGTAGGGCCTATAATACCCACCGCCGAACCACAAACAGCGGAACCGAAACAAGCCGAGATAGAAGATGCTCTCACGAGAGAGTTCGGTCAGGAGAGAAGGCGCGAGCGTCCGGCTTGGGCTGTACAAAAGGAAGCGCTGAAAGAGAAGCTGGGAGGCGAGGCATGGAGCCCGCGCAAGAAGTTGTCGCCCGATACCATGGAAGGCATACGGCATCTACACAGCACACAACCCGATAAATTCACCACACCCGTTCTCGCGCAACACTTCAAGGTCTCGCCCGAAGCCATTCGCCGCATACTGAAGAGCAAGTGGCAACCCTCCGACGCAGAATACGAGGCCAGGATGGAGAGATGGAATAAGCGCGGAGAGAGGATATGGTCAAATCTGGTAGAGATGGGTGTTAAGCCGCCTAAGAAGTGGAGAGAGATGGGCGTTGGTCGGGCTGAGAATGGGGAGGCGCCCAGGTGGAAGTCAAGAGATCGGAACCAGGTGGACGTTAGGGACAGCGTCCACGACGACTTTAAGGACTATGTTCCGGACGAGGAGCTTATACCGACGGTGGGCAAGTCTGGA